GAGGCCCGCTAACCGGCCGGCCGCGCGGGACGGACGCTGGGGCACGGTGTACAGATGCTGTATCATACTGGCTCCCGCTGGCCGCCCCTGGTAGTGGTGGGGCGCTATAAGCAATTTGATTGCTTCCCTTCTATTTAAAAATAGCCACAAAATAACAAAAAATACTGAAAATATGAATAAATATTACCCTTTTTGCTGTAACTTTTTTAAAGTTTTGACTTTAAAAAGTTTACAAATCGTAATTAGAAGTGCTCTCTATTTTTTTTTTTTTTTAATTTAAGACAAGGTTAACAGTGAAAGCTCAACAATAGGGATGTTTTTAATAAACTCTATTTTCGTAACAAACCTTGACGTGTGCTGTTGTCCGTGCACTGCCCCCGGTGGGAAGGATGCTCACGAGTCTCAGCCGTCCGGCCTCCAGCCTGAGGCTGCGGTGGAGACGGGCACGCGTGCTCGCACTTCACTTGTGATGCTTTGACCGAGTGTTTTAATCCAAGGTTCACAGTGGTGGTTTAATGCTTGCTTTGCAGTTCAATCAAGGTTTGCTGTTTCGTGTTTTTTGTTGTTTTGTTTTTGCCATTGGCTTTGCGGTAAACGTTGCCCTAATTCATCTGTAAAGAGACCTTTTGCTGGGGAAACGGTGGGTCCAGCATCACGCTGTCCTCCACCATCCGAGTGCCTGGGTGTCCTTCCTGACAAGGTTGAGTGTTCGCTCACCACCATCCCGTGTTTTCAAAGGGGCTGAAATGAAGATGAATGTGTGTTCTGTATGTGTAAGGACTTGGATGCAGCCTGCGGTTGCCTATGAGCCTTGCCTTTCTCTATTGGTTTTGTGAACTCCTGTCTGGGCAGGGATGGACTGAACTTTTTGCCACCTATGAAGTACTTTTCTCTCTCTGTTAAAATTGTTAACTAGGGGAAACAGGTAGGTCATCGAGGAGCGATCACACGGAGGCGTGCAGGCCACCTTGGAAGGACCTGCCGTTAGCAGCTCCGGCGCCAGAAGCCACCCTGTGTGACAACGCTGGAGTTCCTGGCCGGGACGGTTTCTCGTCAGGTTTAAATTGGCGTGTCGGCGTGCTGAGCAGGTAACTTTCCGCGACCTCCACCCCCCCCAGGCAGAGCTGGCCCGGGCGTCCTGGTGCCCTGAGCGAGGCCGTGGTGATCCTGGGGAGGGCCTCGGGCCGTGCCACATCCCGTTGCTTCTGCAGACGTGAGCTCTGCACTCTCTGGGCTGGGCTTTATGCCGGCCACTGGGCTCACGTCCTTGCCAGCTGCTCTGGGAAGAAGTGGACGTCGGTTGCTTAGCTCCGACTTCCAGGCCTCGCAGCCTGTTTCCAGTTGGAAGCTTGAGACCAGCCGATTCACACACGACAACCCTCCCCAAGTCCCGATAGTGGTGGCGCGTCCACTCGAGGCCTTGGTCACGGAGTCCGTGTTGGGGTCCCGCCTGCATTTGTGAAACTGTTTCCATTCCCTGCCTGACAGCAGGTATGACCCCTCATTTGAGCATGTTGTTCAGCACCTAACTTGAGCTTTGAAAACATTGCCTTTTTCTGAATTAGCTTTTCCTCCTAAATGATCTACGTTTTTAAAGTACATCACATACTTAAAACCACTCAGAACTGCAGCTCATTTCTGTTTTGCTTCCACAAGTATTTTACAACGTTCAACTGAGAGACAACGCATCCAGGGGAACCCGAGTTTCCTTTAGGAGCTCGCGCTCACAGGAACGAAACTCACAGAGAAGCCGATGAAGCCCCACCCGTGGCCCCTGAGCCACAGCCGGCTCTTCAGAGGGCTCCTCAATGCCGACTGCGTTGCTGCCGCTGCCACTTGTACTGTCATCAGATGCTCACAGTACGTGACCTCGCCTCAGTGGGCAACCAAGCCGTAGCTGCCCTGCAGTGTCACTGAGTTACAGGCTCAGCCACAGGACCCAGCTTTACAGTAAAGGTACTTGAAGTCCAATCAATGCTAAGCGGTGAGCAGGGGAAGCCCCACCTCCCGACACTGCCAGGACGGCATCCCTGTCCCCGATCCAAGCCCGTCAGGCTCTGCTCAGAGACCAGCTGTGAGCAGTCAACGTGGGGTCCACTAGGGCTCGTGAGGACCAGCTAGTTTAGAGCCCACCTGGGCCTTCAGCGGGCTCCAGGCGCAGCGCTGTCCAGGGGGCCTGTTCATTACAGGTCTGAGGAAGAACACAAGGAACTTAGACAATTCAGCGGCAACACCCGCATGTGATTAAGTCTGGGAAATACAACCATCATTGAAACAGACATTTTAATGGAATGAGATCGACACAATCATACAAATCTTCCAGTGGTCATAAGTCACATTACAGGAACTTAAAGCAGTTTTTAAAAAAAGACAAATTACACTTTGAAGGTTAGTGTTTAATGTTTATCGGTGAAACTTCTACAACTAGGAGACAACAGGCGTTCTGAGGACGCAGACGCGCCCAGGGGACGTTCACTGGGTGATGCCGATCACCCCGCAGGCCAGGCGGCTCCCGGCGTTGCCCGTCTTCTTGCTTTCGTCATTCCCACCTTTGCCCAGGTCATCTCGCTTCTCGTGGACCTTGGAAGACATGGAGACCATGTAACAGGACGATACGTAATCCCACCTCCCCCCAAACACCCAGACTTCTAAAGGGCCGCTCAGTATTAGCAGGTAACACGTCACAGGAACCCTGGTAGAAAGAGACTAATGTTTAACCTAGTAATGGAAATAGCAGCTGCCCAGCTTTTTCTTGATGCAAAGACATCAGTTACCTCTAACTGGGATGAACCACTGAGACCTGAGCCATCCCGCCGCGGCCACCGGTGCGGCCGGGCCCTCGGGGGAGCTCCGTGCCCCAGCAGTCCCTCCTGTGCAGCATAAATTGCTTTGAAAAAGGAGGAGCTCACGTGAACCCCTTCAAAAAAAACCATCAGAACCCAGTGACTGTCGCCAAGAAACGAGAGGAATCCTTAACAGCTCAACCATCTGAAGGCCGGGCTTGAAGGTTCTCTCCTCAGACTTCCAGGCACTTCCTGCTTCTCACTGAGGCTGAGGAACGTCCCCAGGGCCACCACTGAGGTGACCACCGAGGCCGCTGTCCTCACGCTTGTACCTGGTGACCTGTGCGGGCCAGGCACTGCTTCCCAGGCTAAACACGGCTGACCATCCACACGCAGGCGTGAATGAGGGCCACCCTGGGCCGGCCCGAGACTGACTGCTCCGACGGCAAGGGTCCCGGCCACACGCCCGCATCCTCATCTCAGCACTGACCCCGGTGCTCCTTCCTCTTCCCTGCAGCCTTTTCTCATCGGAGCCAAAGGTGCCAGTATGTGGTCCCTTAAGAACCAGGATTCGTCGTGAAAGATCCACGCCTGACCGTTAGGAGCCACTAGTTTTGTGGTATTTACCACGAAGCTATGTGCACGTCCTGCCCACACAAACACTCACCACGAGTGTGCGGCCGATGATGGAATGGTCTCCCGAGAGCGCAATCACAGAGTCCTCAATGAGCACGTTGGCCACACCGTCCGGGCCCGCCGTCACGTTGCCCAGGTCCCCGACATGCCTAGCATGGAGGAAGCATCAGAGTGGTTCAGGAACTGAGTGTGAACAGGGTCAGACACAGCGGAGATCAAACAGGAACCACTTAGCAGGCTCAGCTCTCTAAACAAGCATAAGCCCACCCTGGCCCGTTCGGCTCAGTAGGTAGAGCGTTGGACTGAGGGGTCCCAGGTTTGATTCCGGTCAAGGGCACATGCCTGTGTTGAGGGCTCAATCCCCAGTGGGGGACCTGCAGGAGACAGCCAATCAATGATTCTCATCACTGATGTCTCTCTCTTCCTCTCCCAAGTCAATAAAAATATCTATACTAATCAAAGGGTAATACGCTAATTAGACCAGGAGACCTTCCAGACAAAAGCCATGGTGACAGGGCCGAGGCAGTTAGGAGTGATCAAGCCAGTGGAGGCAGGAGGGGGAGCAGTTGAGCGGTTAAGAGCCAGCAGTCCCAGATGGTGAGAGGGATGTCCGACTGCCAATTTAAATCGGCAGTCAGAGATCCCCGAGGGATCCCAGATTGGAGAGGGTGCAGGCTGGGCTGAGGGACACCCCTCTCCCCCTGAAATTCGTGCACCGGGTCACTAGTATCTATATAAAAGCCTAAGCAACCGGCTGACTGGCTCATAGCTATGATGAACACTGACCACCAGGGGGCAGATGCTCAACACAGGAGCTGCTGAGTGACAGCAACTTTGCAAAGTGTCCTCTCGCACTCTGGGACCCCCTCGGGAGGATGTTGGACTGCTGGTTTCGCCTGATCCCCGCAGGCCAGGCCGAGGGACCCCACCAGTGCACCAGGCCTCTAGTTTTAAAATAATAATGAAATAAAAACAAGCAGGCCTTCATCCCGTGGAGTCCTGGCGGGCACCTGTGCTCTCGGGCACTGACGGGACATTGCAGCTCCCAGGCCCTTGATGGCGAACCTATGACACGCGTGTCAGAGGTGACACGCGAACTCATTTTTTTGATTGATTTTTCTTTGTTAAATGGCAGTTAAATATATAAAAAATATGTCTTTGTTTTACTATGGTTGCAAATATCAAAAAACTTCTATATGTGACACGGCACCAGACTTAAGTTAGGGTTTTTCAAAATGCTGACACACCGAGCTCAAAAGGTTCGCCGTAACTGTCCCAGGCCTCTGTCCCCAAAATAAACAAATCCTGGTCCTTGACCTCTTTCCCTGAGGCTCTCGAAAACATACGCACAGAGCCTCAGGGACTTTCACCCACCAAGCTCCCCATTTCCCAACGACCTTGTGTGGTTACTGCGGGCAGCACGGTCACCTGCAGTTCCCTCTGGCGCCTGTGCGCTCTGTCCTCAGTAAACGCGACAGACCAAATCGCTCTAATGTCCCCATTTGTCAGCTCCTGCGCCCCCAGCAGGTGGCAGGGGAGCCCGCTTCTTGTAGCGCAGTCGCGGGAGTGTACCCCCACCCCACCCCACGTTCCGCAGGCGCCCACCTCTCTTCGTCCTGCGGCCCGCCATGGGTCTTGGACAGAGGGTTAAAGTGAGGACCTGCACTGGTACAGCCTAGTTACAAAAACAAAACAAAAAAGTTAAATTATGAAGCAAAATTCCAAAATACATTATACGAAGAAACTGGTCATTGCTAAACCCTCAAACAGAAAACATGCCGACCTCCAGCTCGTGGAGAGCAGACCGGGCGGGAGGCACGAGGGCTCAGCTCCCCGTGCCGGTCACGCTCACACCTGCTCTGGGTGTGGGCTTCTCCGCCCGTAAAACTAGAGGCACTGGGCCTGCGCGGCCTCGCCAGCTCAGGCGGCACGGCTCCCGGCAGCACTCGGGCCTCAGACCACCTCGGACCGCGCGCTGTGAGGACAGCTCGCCCACCCCACACCTGCTGCTGCACCGCGTTCCTGCAGCTGCAGCCACAGCGCCCCAGTTCTCTGATGACCTGACCGGCCGCCTGTGCTCCCCGCGGATGGGCAGTGTCCCTTTCATGCTCTACCAGCCCCCCGGGCAGCACAGTGATCAGAGCGCACGGCCAGGCCTCCCAGAGCAGAGGCAGGGAAACCAAGAAGCGCCTCAGAAATTTTGAAAGTGATGAAATGATCAAATCTGCTCATTACTCATCACCCTCTATACCAGCGGTTCTCAACCTGTGGGTCACGACCCCTTTGGGTTCAAATGACCCTTTCACAGGGGTCGCCTAAGACCATCGGAAAACACATATATAATTACAGGTTGAGAACCGCTGCTCTAGACAATCAAGTCTGAATCATGATCTAAAATAACAAAGCCCTCCCCTTCCTTTGCACAAGAGTCAAAAACCAGTTTTGTGGCCAAGCCCTGGGCTGACCCCTGTCGCCAGGGTGACTGGTCTAAGGGCCCTGCTCAGCCCGTCTCTGGCTGGGAAGGGAAGCGTCTGGCCGCCAGCCCTCGCCCCCGTCCCCAGGCCCGCACACACCCACCTTGTGTGTTATCTCCAAACTGGTGGACATGGAAGCCGTGCTCGCCCTCCGTCAGCTCTCTGATGGAGCCCGAGACCTTGACCTTCCCGTTTCCCTGTATCCAGAGAGAAGCACAAGTCTGAGACCATGTTGGGGACATTGAGTCAGCTCTACCCCACAGGAGAGTGGAGGCGGGGGGGTGCTGACCTGGTTCTGCCGCCTGTGCCGTGACCCGGGCCAGGAAGCCCAGGCCAGGGAAAAGGCCCGGCAGAACGGCACCAAGAGCACCTAACGGGACCTGGAGACTCCGCAGAGCCTGCCCGTGCGAGGGCGAAGACGCTCTGGTTCCCTCTGGAGGCTTTTGAGCTCATGTGATCACATCCGACGGATCCCCAGACCTGAGCACAGCCTAGCTGGCACCGTGCTCTCTCTACGCACGTTCCGTTCGGCAAATACAGACCACGGGGCCGCCCTCCCAGCGGGAGGAATCCTGACAACTGAACACACGGGCTCCACACCGTTATGTCAGCCTTCACCCCTGACCTTCCACTGGACCCGCAGGATGTGCCAATCAAGCAGTGTGGTAACTGCTACCCTTTTCTGCTTCCTTAAAAAAAAACCAGACTACGATTCTTCTAAAGATAAGCTTTAATTTTGTAAAAGTTCAGATGTGAATGTTACCCCCAAAACACAGTTATCAAAAGCACAGGAAGAAAACCGGGGCAGGTTCCTCCGAGCCTCATCTCCTGGATAAAGGACGCCCGGGCACAGGGACCCGCCGGGCACGGGGACCCAGCCGGGGACAGGG